GATATTTCGGAACCGAATCCAGTTCCTTCGATGATCAATGTAATCTAATAATCATGATTCGTATTCACCTGAGTACAATTACACCAACACAGGAAAATCGCCTATGTTGTCGTGCCCTGGAAAACACCTCAATCAATTTCCAAAACCCGTATACGAACACTGATTAAGTTTGTTTATCGTTGATCTCCTAATGTCATGTACCATTACCTTCCTGTTTGTGTTTGCCAACATCGACGACATGCGATAGTTGCCCGCTGGTGCTGGTCACATCTTGAGCACATGAACTCGGCGCTTTGCTACCAACGTTTAAATCAACTTGTAGTTTGGAAGGTTTCTCTTCAGATTTTATAGCTGGATGCTTTTTTTGAGATTTGAAGACAGGGATTTTGCTAGTTCTTGAAATTGGCATCTTTATCTGAAATTTCAAAAGATAACGGTTAGTACGTTCCGGAGGGCAGGAAAAAATAATTTTATTCCTGGCAGCACAACCTGGCAGCACAACCAAAAATTTCCTGCAGAACGACGGAGTATTCTGCATGTGCATAAACATATAGTGTTCTAGCTGACCATGGTTTTCAATTCAAGGAATAATGTCTGTCAACCATATGTTGTTGCGCCGATAGTGGGACCTGGGTGTTAGGTTTCCTTCAAATTTTCAATAGCAGATCTTCATTCAAACGAAGTTCCTGCAGCTGTTTAACATTTCCTGCGAGCAGTGCTCGCCTAGTTTTCCACCCCTGACGTTCCGCCGCTTCTATATCTTCGTTTTTAGCTTACATATTCATAAATAAACACATGTTTTCACAGGTGGGGCGACCTCGTCCCTACACTCACCTCAAATCGTTGAAAGTTCTTGTCCATGGTAACTTTCGACGAGGTCGCGCGTGGTACAGCCTTCACCAAGCTTGTTTGACTCTCTGATATCTCCAGATGCCTTTTAGTGTTCATCAGAGAAGATTGATTTCCTGACATGTCGATAAACCTTGAGACATTCATCGTAGATTTCTGCGTTTCTGATACTTCTTCACGTCTCGCCACCTTGGGCGTCTCATTCCCTGTAATTTCCACGTGTCTTGAAACATTCGCCATTGACTTGGCAGATGTCTGATTTTCTGTAATTTTTAGCTGTCTTGAGACATTCATCAAAGATGTTTGATTTCCTGACAATTCTTCAACTCTTGAAGCATTCGCCATTGGCTTAGTAGACGTCTGTTTTTCTGACATTTTTAGCTGTCTTGAGAGACTCAAAGATGTTTGATTTCCTGAGAATTCTTCAAGTCTCGAAGCGTTCACCATGATTGGCATAGATATCTGACTTGCAGGCATGTCTACATCTCTCAAAGCATTGATCTTCTCGCTAGCTGTACGGTCAAGATCGTCTCCAAGACGATTGGCTGGAACATCTGATATTTTCTCAGACACCTTGGAAGTTAACAAAAAAATCTCTAAATACTCGAACTACCGACATAATGAAATAGTTTTCACTGCATGGGAGCCACCGCCCCTCAATTTGTTAAAAAAACTTGGTTAACTAACTGAGCTATTACAATTATAATGTATTTTCAAAACTCAGTCAGACTGTAATCTATATTACGGTATACATATATAGGCAGTCACAACTGTGCATTAAATTAAGGCCAAGAAAGCCTTATACTTGTGTTTATTTCACTTTCAATTCTAAAATACAGTATTTCAAACCTTTTGAACAAGATTGTTGGCATTCATTGGCGTCCGGGATTCCATCGATTTTTCTTGTTCCCAATTTTCATAATTTCTCGTCATTTCCATTTGATTTCCTGCAACGCCTTCATCGACAGTTTCAGACTGAGAAATTTCTATGTGTCCAGCTTGGCAACGAGTAAACTCCAAATTATCACCTTTTTCTGGCGAACGCTGCAAAGTAATAGGACAGTTTATTTAATGTCGAACCCGGGACGCGAGACTAGGACGACGTGAGCGCGCAACGAGAATTTAGTAGTCTCTTTCGCCGTTTCGCTTATTTTGAAAATGCAGTCTTACAAATCACTGTTCAGCACATGTATATACTATCAGTACTATGGTCCTAAAATCCAGGTTCGAAAATATTTGGTGTTTACAGTACATTCATCCGGCTTCAGCTGGGTCTGAAGACGGTCGATTCTCTGTCAACCCAAGAGCAGTCTGGCAACTTTCGACCCAGATTTCGACCCACCACGAAATCGTCCCGCTGCGATTTCGTCCATGTTTTATGAAAACAGGCCCATCTCAATGAGTACCTTGTTTCTGGAACGGAAATTGCTGTCATTACTTGACCCTGGAATCATATGCGATTTTTCCTCTTCCCAATTTTCATAATTTCTCGTCATTTCCATTTGATTTGCTCCAACATCTTCACACACAGTTCCAGACTGAGAAATTTCTATGCGTCCAGCTTCGCAACGAGTAAATTCTAAATTATCATCTTTCTCTAGTGAGTGCTGTAAATAACGAAATAGAATGACTGAGTAAAATCTGTTTTTCATTTCAACCCTATCGTAACGTGTATAGCCCCATTGCACATGACGTCACAGCGCCGGTGATGATGCATCTGGAGGACAAATTAGCAATCTATGCATAATATAACCTTTGTAAACAAAGCAAATTTTGTAAAAGTTTATAATAATTTTGTATTAAAATGGTTAATTTTGCGCTGTATGTGGTTGTTGTACCCGAACAGATATTAGGGAGCTTTAGATTTGACTACGAGTACGACTACGAGTACGAGATTTGATCGCGTGCGAGGAAATTACCTATTCGTTTTCGTTTCCATTCAGATGTTGCTTTTATAACAGTAAACCAACAACTAGATAAAAAGTTTCATAAACTAAATCTCCTGCCGACTAAAATCCCCTACAAAACGTGTAAATAAGTCATAACATTAAAAACAGGCCAGATATTTAGCACTAACATATTATTTGCGCCGGATAAACGCTATATAAATGCTACAAATTATTTTTGGAAAACAAAAAAAAGTCAACTTTCTTTGGGTTTTTTTGAAAAGTCGTCGTGAGGACTACGAGGTTTCTCCACAATTTCGTACTCAGATGGGCGACGGCTACGACTTTTTCGCGTCAGTACGGGATGGCGTAAGCATACAGCATGCGTTTAGCTTGACGAATCTCGTACTCGTAGTCGTACTCGTAGTCAAATCTAAAGCTCCCTATTGTTAGGGAGCATCTGAAGGACACTCTAAGGATTTGTGACGTCAGTGTTCAGCAGAAATTTCTCCTTGCAACATCCAACTCAGAAATGTGGATAGAAACTAATTCTAAAATGTACCTTGTTTATGAAACGCAAATTGTTGTCATTTCTTGGTGTCTTCAATTGCACTGAATTCATATTGGGTTTCTCCTGTTCCCAATTTCTCGGTGTCTTCAATTGCACTGAATTCATATTGGGTTTCTCCTGTTCCCAATTTTCATAATTCCTTGTCATTTCCATATTTACTGTGATATCCTCGTCAACAATTTGAAATTGTGCAGTTTCTATGTTTCCAGCATGACAATGGGTGAATTCTAAATTGTCATCTTTCTCTGGGGAACGCTGTGAAGAATAGTGAAAACTTATCTACATAAGCAATAGACAATTTGCAAGTTAGACTACTTTTTGATCTAGGCAAAAAAAAAGTAAATTCCCGTAAAGAACATATTAAAATTAGTAAAATTGCAAAATTTGGTTACGAAATGTCGTAAAATACGGAAAATATAGCCTTGCGAAATTTGCATATTTTGTATATGTTTGTATTACGTGCGGGAATTGTTACCATTTGTGAGCCGAAAACGGTAACAATTTCCGCACGTAATACAAACATATATACAAAATTTGCAAGACTATATTTTCCACGCTTTACAACATTTCGCAACCAAATATTGCAATTTTACTAATTTGAATAATTTCATTATGTTATTTTTAGCTGTGGTGTTTGATTCCTTTCTCTTTACTTAGATTAAAATTTGGACTAACATGCAAGTTGTCCATTAAAGTGTAAGAGATATCAGCGCTGGCGATCTGTAACACGGTATTCTAACTGTCCTATGGAGGGCTACTTTTGAAAAACAACAATTTTAGACGGCCACTTCGACGGTCTAAGTAAAATATTTTTGTTAAATGGCAACATACAAACGTTGTTGTATTTCTTGAATACTACGAAAGTTGTTAACTGCCGTTTGCCGAGTAATTTATTTTCAAGCGCTGTCGTTTTTTTACCACCACCACGAGAATTGGTGAACGCACCCACGGTACTTTTTGGACGGCCAAGTTTGTCGTTCTAACTAAAGGGCCTAGGCCTGGTACAGTATATACCAATCTACATGGAACCTTAAGACCCATTTCCACTCAAGAAAAATTTCCAAGGACAGAAAATTTTCCGAAAATATCATTGTTAAAAGTTGAAAATTTTCATCTTCAAAATTTTTTTTCCGACGGAAAATTTGTGAAGCCCAATCACATTCTACAAAAATTTCTTTCTGCGGAAAATTTTCCTGATTGGAAATGGGCATCCAGCTCAGTGCACTGAACTCAATATGTATCATACCTTATGGCTGATGTCATTTCTTTGTAGCGGAACCATATACGTCTGTTGTTGCTCCCAATTTTGATAGTTTCTTGTCATTTCCATTTGATTTGTTGTTCTATCTGCATCATCATAATGTTGGTAAGGAAATGGTTGGATGTTACCACCATGACATCGGGTGAAGTCCAAATCGTTGTTCTTCTGTAGTGAACGCTGGAAAGTACATTGAGACAATCAAGATAAAAGTAAAGTAATTACATGGTAGCCTCGGTTTCTTCCGTTTCAACAGGGGCGTTTAATCACGTATTTCCCTCATTACCCATGCATATGCGTTTGTCTTCTAAATTTCCCCGGGAAATTTAGTTGTTGAAAACAAAAGACTTATTTGTCTTCTAATTTTCCCTGCATGCTTGATGAGGGAAATTTAGAAGACAAAAGCGTACCTCAGGCTATTACTAAACGTCTCTCGGCTTTCGGGTACATTTAATCACTAATCGCCCTGAATGCCATGCTATTATACTTATAATAATATATACAATATTTAGCATCAACGGTATTCGGGCGTAAAAAAAAAAAACCTGTGGTTCCGGTTCCCGACCGACCCTATTTTTTTCTGCCGACCCTATTATTTTTTCAACGTGATTGACCGTGCGACCCTATTTTCTCCAGGCGGTTGCGGGCTGCTCATATAGCGTGCCAAAATGGCGTCTGTTGTCACACTAATTATTGAACCAAATTGCCTAAATTCGTCCATATAGGAAATACGCATCCCTAGTTTGATATTGATGTCGGGACTCTACTGCAAATCGCCCAGCAAAAAATCGCCAAAACCATGAAAAGAATATTCAAAAAAAAATTTATTTCCGACCTACGGCCGACCCTAATTTTTTCACGATATGAAACAGGAACCACAGGTATTTTTTTTACGCCTCGCATTTCGCCTTGATGAAAATATTCTTAATCTTAAAAGGACATGCAGGAACGATAATTATTCGGTGTTAAAAATGGGAATCAACATGATCTTTGTATCAGATATGCAAGCTCCATCACGTCATAATTTCCTTCATTTTCTTCAGATAATTACCTGACCGCCTAAACTAGGATTGTTCTTGGCTGCTGCAGGAGTGGCGGACTCCATCCAGTTACCGTAGTTTGCAGTCATCTCCATTTCGTTAGACGTGACATCATCATTACCATCGCTTGTTTTTAACCTGGCTCCCTGAATACCATTACCAACACATTGCGTGAAATCGAGATTATCTTCTTTCCTCTATGAATGCCAAAAACAAACCGTATAAAGGAGAAACGCTATATAAGGACTTGTTAATCATATGTATAGTATTAAGAGAGATTATTTACCATCATTGTGCTGTGTAAATTTGACTGAGGAAATAAAGGTTTGTTGTTTGAAACCCTCTGCTGGTAACTGCTAGTAGCTTGGAGTTGGCTCAGGAATGACGATTGATCTATTTTGGGAGATTGTGTAATTGTTCTTGGAAATGTGTCCTAAATCAAGGAAAACAATACATTGTCAACGCTTCAACGCTTCTCCGGCCTTAACAGTTGGCGACGCTGCAATATACAATTACTTTATGGTTTCCGTGTTTGGATGGCCTGATCCAAACACGCGGGAATGTTGCGAGAGTTAAGAAAAGCGCGCGAAATCACGAGCCGAAGGTGAGTGATTTTGCGCGCTTTTCTTAACTCGAGCAACATTCCCAAATGTTTGAATCAGGCCATCCAAACACGAGAACCATAAAGTAATTGTTTTATAAAATAACAAAAAAATTTTAAAATTCCCGCGAAGGCACTTTAAATTTCCGTGTTTGGATGGCCTGATCCAAACACCTGTGGGTTACAATGTTTATTTTTAAAATTACTTCGCCAATGAACTCATAAGATGGGTCATTTTTTAAGTACGATAAAACATTCGCATCCAATCTGTATCTGATATACTACTCTCGCCTTCGGCTCGAGTTTGTATATCAGATACAGAGCGGCTGCTCATGTTTTATCTAGTACTTAAAAAAGTTCATTTATTCATGAGGAAAAGACATAGGAAATCACTACCGTGTCTGTGGTTTGATGTGATAAAAAATCATGTAAATTACATAAACTTTAGCCTTGATTTTCTCGGCTTAGACAACGTTGATTTTTAAAATTACTTCGCCAATGAACTCATAAGATGGGTCGTTTTTAAGCCATTCAAAACACAAGCAGTCCTGTGCTTGACCAGCAGATATAAGATATATCTGATAAAGCACTCTTGCTCGTGTTTTAAATAGCAGAGCCTGATATAATTTTTAAATTTGTCCGGCAAAACTTCCAAGCAAAATGAAATTTGACCGGAAATTTTCAAATTTGGTCGGAAATTTTTTAGTTTAGTTTGATCGCCTCCGTTGAGTAAATTCTGTCAAGCATGCAGTAAATCACTCTACTTGTAATAAACAGCCTATTTAACTGTCCTAATGAAGGGCCTTTGCTCGAAACGACGAGGAAACGCATTCTTTATCTCCCAGGTCGTCAAATTAACAACAATGAAAGCAGTCACTCTGACTCGTAACTCATGCACTGTCACACATTTAAGTTAACTAAACTTTGTTTAAAGCATACTCTGATCGAAGAAACTTTGATAACTTTCCAGTTGATTACTCTATATAAGACTAGTATAGATAATCTAAGACTATAGATACTGCACTCGCTGTGCTGAGCGCCGACCCGATAATTTAAAAAAAAACAGATTATCATTTTTTTTCAACATTTGTCCAGACGAAATTTCCGATCATTTCAGCATTTGGTCGGGAAAACTGGAATTTGGTCGGAAAACCGCCGACCGCCGGCCGTTATTTCAGCGGGCTCTGAAATAGTACGAACTATTTTCTGACCTTGCCTCGCAACATGACTTTCAGTAACGGCAATGCACTCACCGTTATGGGAAATGTTGTTGAATGTGCTTCAGTACGGGAAGGATTACTGATCGTGTCTCTCTGCTGCTGTGGTTGGAAACTGGCATTGTTGGAAGTTCTCAGTTGGTTTAAAAATGAAGTCCCGTCTAGTTTCGGACATTGTACATTTCTTGACGTTTGAAATGTGTCATAACTGTTCCTTCTTTCAAAATTCTCACTCGAGGCGTTGACCTTAAGTTGGTCCAAGAAACTCGATGCGTTCAATTTTTGCATCTGCCCATGATTCGAGATTGCAACCTAAAAACATCGACAGTAAGAATTTATGTCATATTTTGATATTTGCGATTTAAGAAATAAACTTAATGTGATGTGAGGTTTTAGCATAATTTTATTCAAGTGGGGGTCAATCACTGAACTGAGGTCAAGTAAAATGAAACAAAATGACATCAACGCATCTTATGTAAATTACTTCTCCGACTATTATTAAAGCCAATATAAAGCAATATAAAATCCATCCTTTGCCCTAGACACAGACCATTGACCATCACGTGATGTCATATGAAACCAGAGAATAGACCCATTGCACTGACGTCACAAATCCTTAGAGTGTCCTCCAGATGCTCCCTAACAATATCTGTTCGGGTACAACAACCACATACAGCGCGAAAATTAACCATTTTAATACAAAATTATTATAAAGTTTTACAAAATTTGCTTTGTTTACAAAAGTTATATTATGCATAGATTGCTAATTTGTCCTCCAGATGCATCGTCACCGGCGCTGTGACGTCATGTGCAATGGGTCTACTGCCACTAGAATACTACCTAAACTGGACTGCAAAGCCAACTCCTTCCAGACTTACCTTGGACGCTACAACTTGTCGTGTTAGAACAGTGGACTGCTCAAATTCCCAGCCGTCGTAGTTTGTTGTCATTTCCATCATGTCTTGAGGGACAGTGGTGTGGATGCGATTGTCTTGAATATATGCACCATGACTGCGTGTGAAGTCTAACTGTTCATCATCTTCCTCGTGTGAACACTACAGGATGTATAAAAAAAGACTTTAGAAATTAACCTTATTGTTATAATTTGAATGCTATATCGCCTGTATTCTAAAAGCTCACTCACACTCGCATGACTCAAAGAGTGGAGGTTCAATCTGAGCTTCCCTCGAGTGTCAATGCTGTTTTTGAATAGCTGGAAGGTTAGTGTCGTTCCTTACTATGTGACTGCTCACCCTCCAGCTATTCAAAAACAGCATTGACACTCAAGGGAAGCTCAGATTGAACCTCCACTCTTTGAGTATGAGTGAGCTTTTAGATTATTTAGAATACAGTAGTATACTAAACACTTCAGACACCTTCAACGAATGTATCGCTGCGAAAAGCGCACGAGCTATGGAGATTTATACAATCTTCACAGGGAGTTTCTAGGATTTTCAGATTTTTCAGTCGAGTTTCACGTAACGGACAAAAACGGATTATTTTTCTCGAATATTTTTCTAAAATTTTTTTTTAGATTTTCAGGCAATTTAAGGATATGGTCCCTTTTATGGATCTTTTGCCGTCACTTACGTGCCTGTCATGCATAAGTTGTTGTTGTCGTCGTTGTTGGTTGTTGTTGTTGGTTGTTGTTGCTGTCATTCGTAGTTCTCCATCACCACATCCTTCCGCACCGGACGTCAATGGGAATCCTAATAATACGCGAATCCTAAAACTACATGGGGGGGGGGGACTTTAACGCACCCACCTACCTTATTTGACACGGAATATTTGGAAGTGAAAACAGTTGATTGGTCAAACTGTGTAAAATCCAGTTGATTTTCTCCATTATCAGGTGACAACTAGTCGCAAAAGAAAACACAGACATGAGGTCGACTAATTACCCACGACTAATTGTATAGGTATTGTACAGTCGCTTGTCCGGCACTGGCAAAGAGACCGTAACAAAATCCGCTGGAAAACGCCTTGCAACAATATTTTCTTATACTATAACTTTACCTCATGAAAGCTTGATCTTTGCGGTGGTGACTCCTGAATAGGACTGGTTAGAAGAGATGGCAATCCTAATAAGACGACATTACTTTTCGTTAAGTCTTACATTTGAGACGTAATCCTCATCGTCCTCCCGTAAAAACAATGCTGAACTATTAATTTATAATATTTTTATATAGAATTAACTGCAGTGCCCCTAATATGTCCCTGCGTAAAACGAATACTGAGGCTATTTCATCAAGCGCGGCCATAATGGATATATCGTTCGAAATTTGAATACACCATCCTTGACACACGAGCTTCATTCTTACGAACAGAAAGTTCCTCTACCTACCTGCGAGAGTGGATGCAGCTGGTCTGTACACACTGAAAAAGGTAGAAGATACAGATCACTTTTGCTAGCATACGCTCACATTTCGTCAGAGAAATATAAAGGGAAATAGACCTTACCGTTTATTGACGTTTGACCCAATGGGCAATGGCCTCGTATTCGTGTCAGGTATTTACTTGTGTTTCGTGCACAACAGGGTTACGAACTTACTTGTTATTGGGCTTAAGATCAACCAGGAACCAAATCGTGAGGGAAACATGGGAATAGAGAGGTTAAGATACCCCGGTTTCGGTGTACGGGTACGAGTAGTGTCATCTTGTTTTACTGATGTCTGTAATTCGATCATACTTTTTCTGTTTTCTTGCAATAGACAATGACATAATGCGAAAAATGTGCACCTTAATTACGAGTAAAGGTACAGACATCGACGAAAATATTGCTAACCAAAATCATGCTACCCGTACACGTACACCGAAATCGGGGTATCTCAATCTCTCTAATATAACCTTCATGTGCGCCTGTCATGTCAAAACTGGCAAACACGAAAACGAGGCCACTGGGTCAAAAATGAATAAACGGTAATTAATTATATAAGGTCTAATTAACAAAATGTCGGCTGTTACAACTTGTCTTGCTGTTTTACTGTTCAAACCGGATTCTACTTTGTACTCTTCTTGTAATAAAAATGTTGCAAGATTAGACGATCCCAGGTTATGTTAGCAAAAGTGAAAATCTTAATCTTTGAGATTCTTTCGGCAAAACTATTAAAATACAGAACTGAAACACTTTCTGCAACAGTATTCGAGATTAAACATGTCGAAACCAAAAATTCCACACCGCCTTTTACCTGTTGTCCCGGGTGCTTTCGAGATTGAGAAACGAAGGCGGCACTATACAAAAAATGCGTAGTAGATTATTCATTCGAGCAAGTCATATAAGTAAAAATATTAGAAAGAAAGCAATTACTATAAAATCAGATTTATTTCTAACCAGAAGTATCCTCATTAATTGTAAACTCGTCAGGATCCATCTTTTCCAACACCTTATTTGGAATCTCTCTAAAAGATCAGTGAGCTTACATTTAAGCAGGGCTCGAAAGAGCGGCTGCCAATGGCCATATTTTAGAAATGGCAGGCAATTTAAAACAAATTTGAACTTTTTTCTGTGTTGGAGTATAAATGACTGTACATACTCAGGTGAATATGATGCTTGTGACGTTACTCTGAGTGTAACATATCCACACCGGGCAGGCTTGAAAAATATGCCTGGCCACGGTGGGAATCGAACCTACGAACTTTGGAATACTAGCCCAATGCTCTGCCAAGTAAAATGTTAAAAAAAGGCAGGTGAAATTCTATAGATATACTTCATTTCATTTGCTTACCACAACTTTATTATATATATATATACTAGATCATTTAGTTGACTAAATAAGTTTATATTTGAAATATAAATCCAAGTTTACTGTAGTAAAATAGACACGTTTAAAAATAATAAAAATGCGTATCATGAAAACATTGATTTTTACGATATGACTCATATGAGAGATTTCCATTTTGGCAGTCTAATGAATAAAAATGGCAGGCTAAAATTTGTTTCACCTGCCAAAAATTTTCAGACTGGCAAGCCATATTTTTTCTCTACTTCAAGCCCTGACATACGTGGTCATCAGAGCAAGCATCTCTAAGTTCATGGGTTTCATTCTCGATACAGACTCATGTGAAAAAAAGTCAGTTAACGCTCTGCCAAAATTTGTAGACTTTTTCTCCGGCTGCTCTGATTTCTTCCCTCAGGAAAAGTTGAAACATCTAACCCCCATCAGTTTCATTCAATGTGATAGCAACTCATTTTTGATCACAATATAAACTTCTGCTTTAATAAATGCTCTTCAAAAGCTACAGTAAAAAGTTTTATAAAAATGTACACATATGCATGCATGTATAATTTATAAACCCAATGGACCTATTCCCTAATGAACGAAATTTTGATCTAGACAAGTCTAGACAAAAATTTCACCACAGCTTGAAAGAGCATCACAAAATTAGGCCAAAAAAAAAATATGTGGGTCTCCGTTTTCTTCTTATAAAAACTTAGGTAGGGTAGGTCGGTTTTAACTTTTTTTTTTTAAAACTTTTTTTTTAATTTTCCGAACAAGCGGACGCCATTTTGTTTAGTCAGTGCTTCCACATCCAAAGATAAATTTCCCTAATATTGCCTCAAATTTCAATTTTCCACAAACTTTTCCCTCTAAGTGGAAACACTTACAAGCATGATCCAATAAAAAAAGTTTAGGGTCGGGATTTCGACGTCCAAAAGCTAGGTAGGGTCGGGAAACCGGAAACCCACATATTTTTTTTTTGGCCTTAGTAATATTCCCAAGTTTCGTTGCGAAATGTTGTAAAATGCGTATAATATAGCCCTGCGAAGTTTGCCGTTTTTCAGTCATTTTGTATTACGCATTAACATACATTATATGTATTTTTCAGTCATTTTGTATTACCCTCTTGACGAAGGGCCTTCGCTCGAAACGTCGAGTTTCTGCTTATTTTTTAAGGTAGTGATATAACCACTCAGCACAGAAATTGATACTGGCTTTCTGAAAAAAGGTATCAATTTCCCGCGCGTAATACAAAATAACTGAAAAACGGCAAACTTTGAAGGGCTATATTATCCGCATTTTGCAACATTTCGCAACGAAACCTGGGAATATTACTAATTTTGTGATGCTCTTTCAAGCTGTGATGAAATTTTTGTCCAGATTTTGTTCATCAGGGAATAGGTCCATTCATGCTAGACTGTATATTCACAGAACAGATGGGCAGTGCTTACTTTATTTGACATGTCTCGGCAAAGCTGACACGCCGACTTGATGATCTTCGGGCTTTCTTTGGCCTCTGAGCAGTTTCCTCAACATTCTGAAACCAAGTCAAACTTGTAAAAAGTTCTATGCCATGCACAACTTGATCAACAAGTAATCATAAAGGAAAATTTATAAATAAATATACCTCAGCATTTGGATCAATGTCATCCAATACACAACCTGGAGACTTTGGAATCTTTAATATCTAAAGTTATATATTGCACAGTACAGAACTACATACAATACAAGTTTTATTTATTAACCCTTAAGAATATGAAATATACTGTATCTCCTCTTTTAATTTCAAAGTTCCTTACACCAAAGTGTGCCCTACAAACTTAATGAGCTAATATAAAAGTCCATTACCATGGGCATATTTTGTGTGTGTGGGAAAGGTTGGCAGTCCTCAAGAAAGCCCAACATCAACCAGACAATGTACCTGTTAAATTTTCATGATTTATACCATTTTTGAGATTTACATTACAGTGGTCAAGGAGGTCACACCCTCTCAAAAAAAAGTCACCCCCTTGATTAGACAAGCCTACCTGACTGGAAAGTTTGGAAATTGCGCGGCGGCGAAAATTTAATAGAAAATATATAGAAAGCATCAAAATTGCGCGCCGGAGATATCCGCCGTGCGATACAAACTTTCCACACTGGCAAGCCTACATCCACCCTTCTCTTTTGCCACCAAATTCACATACATAATGTCATTTTGTGGTTATTTAATACGGCTTGGTGATATATAGCCACAAAATTTGATGACAACACATATCCTTACAGTTCAACACCATACCCAAGTAATGAAAATATTTAATGGCATGTTTATTATAATAATTATTATTTGGTGTTTTTTTATGGTGTATGTATTCATTATTTACTTAGGTATGGTATGGTAGTTGCCAAGAATAATTTAAGTATATTCTTACAGATGAACGACGCTTTCCCTTTCTTATGCTGGGCTCACTAAAAATAAGAATGACAAGATTTTCAGTTGGTATTCAGCACCACATATTATTTTTTAATTATTTAATACACCAAACAACATGGGATTTTAGTAGATCATGGTTTTTCCCAAATGGACAATAGAAGGTGTTCAATTCGAAAGCGTTTCGTTTTCCACGACATCTATAAACATTCCCTTAAAAACACAAACTAAGTTAATTTGTAGAAAAAAATGTCAAAAATAGTAAAATACAACCAAGTTTAACAGCCAAAACCCTTTACATAACGCCATAACGGCACATTTACCTATTTTCGTCGTTGGCGTACATTTCTTAACTGTGATTTCTTCAACTCTGCAAACAAATGATAGCGTTATATGTACACTACAAGAACAGTTTCTTCAATATTCTATTTTCAACGAATTTCAAAATAGCCGCCATTTTTTCAACGATGAAGATGTGCAGAGCAGCTGCGCATATTTTCTACCTGGTTATCCGCATGCCTCGTGACATCACAGGCGCATACTAGTGGTTGATGTTTCCACCTTCAAAAAATCCCCATTCAAAAATGAAATAAGGATGGGCTTAATTTTTATTATTCTCAGTGGCAAGGGGCGGATGCCAACCCCACCTGCCGCTCGTGCTTCCCAAATTGCCCCGCAGTCCCAGAGGCCAAAGTTAGGGCGTCCTCCAGTCATGCCTGCAGTGCTTTTCAGCTTTTGAATGGCAAGAAAGTTGAACTCCACTTATATAAACTCCACTTATTTTGTTTATTTTCCACTTAATCAAATTTCCTTTCACCACCTGTAGAGCGGAAACACCAAGTATATTGCTACATTGAATCATTGTTTGTTGACAAGAAATTCAAATGTCAACATTTAAAATATATTTGGTTACTGAAACGACACTAAAACTCAAAAATGTCTGCAGATTCGGTAACAAGCGAGCCTAGACCAGGTCCTAATGATGCTGAAAAAGGCACAGCATGGCATGGCATATCTGAGCTACATCGTGCAGCATTGGGAAGCGCTAATGATGTTCGATCGCTACTTCTGAAGGGTGTAGATGTGACAGTCCACAACAACTTTGGGGAGACACCACTGCACTATGCTTGCCAAGCTGGGAACTGGGGTGGTGTATTTCAACTGTTATTGTTTGGTGCTAACTTGTACGATGTTGATAAGGGTGGAAGATGGTGCATTCATCATGCTGCTAGGAGTGGCTGTGTGTAAGATCATTGTTTATATTGAGAATTAACTTGCAATTATCAATTATTAATTACTTGAACACGCAAAATGTACAAACTATAATATAGGGCATAATGCCCTGCTGCCAGAATATGTTTTGGAAAAAAAAATATATGAAAAAAAAAAATATATATATATATATATATATATATATATATATATATATACATATATATTTATATTTAACAAATATAAAACATTTTCCGTGTTGATATACAGTTATATCAACACGAGTGGAAATTGGGAAAACGAGAAATTGTGTGGAAACACGACGCCCGAAGGGCGGAGTGTTTTCACAGAATTTCGAGTTTTCCCAACTTCCACGAGTGTTGATATAACTATATATCAATACGGAAAAAATGTTTTATATTTGTTTTATAATATAGCAATGTCAAAAGCCCGAAGAATAAGAAAAATTTCCGTGTTTACAAGCGGCGGAAAATTTCCCGTGTTGACATGGAGTTATATCAACACGGCTCTTACATTTACTTACAGAATTTACAAATGCTATATATATATATATATATATATATATATATATATATATATATATATATATATATATATATATATATATATATATATATATATATATATATATATATATATATACTTATATATATATATATATATATATATATAAACTTACATTTTTTTAAAAGAAACCATTCCTCTTGAAGAGTTGAATCATCTGGTTTTAGAGAGAGAAAAATGAAGAAATAAGATAACCTGTTACAAAATGGGTTAATAACCATAAATAGGGGTTCAGATTTTATTTCCACTACGACTACCTCTCACTTGATTGGTAGAGATAGTGGAAGTCAAATCTGAACCTCCCCATAATCACCTTACGCCATTGTGTTTCAGACTGACATTTCAGTATCTAGAATTTCTTGGTGTGAACAAGTGGCAAAGAGATAAAAAGTAAGGTGTAGTCATTCTGTTCTGTGTGAATTATTTATGAAAATTTTGTTAGTAAATAACTAAGAAATATATTTATTTGTGTAGAGGCCGCACTGCCTTGCATCTTGCTGTAGAACATGGACATATTGAACTGATTAAATATCTTGTAAAACAAAAGGTTAGAGAGGTTACAGAGGGTGCCCGAGGTAAC